GCCATGCTCTGCAGGCCTACTCACACTCATACAGCAAAAAATGTAAATGAAGTCTGTTTCAAATACTGGGTATCACAGATAGTTCACATACAGTTCTTGGCTTCTTTTCACAAATATGAAAACAGTCATCATGATGGGCAGAGCCGCCTTATGTGTAGATGGAATGCGTTGCTACGTGATGTCCTGCCCCCAAATATCGTCGACCAAGTCTGTAATTCCATCATGCAAGTCTCTTCTCTTGCACAAGAGGGGTCTTCCTTTTTTGCCATTATGTTTCATATGAAAATGAAAATGCCCTTAGAAGGAAATAAATCTTAGAAGTTAACCGACTGGCAAAAGAGAGGATGCAATTTTTGGAGTTGGAAGGTTTTTAGAGGTCATTCAGTCAACTCATTTCTGATGTGAGGGAGAAGAGGTGACAGAACTTGCCCAAGGTTGTATCGATTAGCAGAACTGGTAATAGCACTGAATCTGCTTTTTTCTCTACCTCTCTCGCTAGTACATCTGGGTGTTGGGAGATGACAGGCGCCCAGTGTGGGGCTTAGGAGTGTGAGGGTGGAGGAAAGGCAATTTCCCTGGAAGAAGAGGACTACTTAGAGGTGGGAAGAGCTTCACATCTTTCCCTGGTATTGGTTCTAGCAAAAGGAACCAGCTTCTCTAACAGGCAATAGAAAAAGACTGAAGTTTCTCCCGGGGCAAGCTTTCAGCACAGCCCAGACATATTTCCATCCAGGTTGGATCTCCTTACTGGATTCCTGATGACTCTATCAGCTACATGTTTTTTAATTACAATATCCTGCCTCTAATTTATTGATGTTTTCTATAGATCACCAATTAGAGTTTGAATATCTTTACAAATCTGTGTAATAACTTTCTTGTGAAGGCTAGAGGTATCCGGGTATCACCAACACCAAAGGGCTTAGGTGGTGCAGTCAGCATGTCAAGTGTATGACTGGAGTCTAGACCATGGCAGAGAAGGGGAATGAGGCAAGTTCTGCTGTACAGAGTTCTCACTCCTTCTAGCAGTAGAGTGAGAATGTGGACCAAAGGAGCCACCCAAGACAAGGCTGTGGCTGGCACTCCTGGCCTGGAAGGACAGGTGGAAAATTCAGATAGTGTGACTGACCGTAGACACACACCTTTCTTCTGGTTCTGCCTCCAGCCATCTCTACACCCGTAAGCAAGTCATTCCCCTTCTCCCAGTTTGCTCCCCTGTGTATGAGGGAGTTGGATATTCTACCCAGGTACTGGGGGTCCTTCTGGTACTATCCCTTTAAAAGCAGTATGATCCAGCCCTGACTGGTTTGGCTCAGTGGATAGAGTGTCAGCCTGTGGACTGAAAGGTCCCAGGTTCGATTCCAGTCAAGGACATGTACCTTGGTTGCGGGCACATCTCCAGTCAGGGGTGTGCAGAAGGCAGCTGAACAATGTTTCTCTCTCATCGATGTTTCTAACTCTCTATCCCTCTCCCTTCCTCTCTGTAAAAAATCAATAAAATATATTTAAAAAAATAAAAGCAGTATGACCCAGGAGACAGTCTGAGAAGTCGGACAGACCTGGATTTGCATAGAGGCTCCACATTTATATTTAAGTGACCTTAATTCTTGACCTGTCCCCTTATCTGTAACACAACTACTTCATGCCCACCTCAAGATTTTTTTTTTCTCTTTTTGAACACTCACCTCCCTGCACACTTTTGCTCTATACTCTCTACAACCCATGTATAGCTTCAATTCTCCAAACATCAAGCCTGTTTCTTCTCTTTCTCCTTCCCTCCTTCCTACTTTCCTTCATTCATGTTTTAAGTGCTAGGCACTAGGCTAAAGTGTAGGGTATTGAACACTTTGAAACATGCTTCCGGGCCATGAAGAATTGCACAATATAATGTGGGGGATGGGGTGCATACACAAATCAGAGAGGTGCATTCTCTAGTAGAGATGTACAAAGTACTGATGATGCACAGAAAAGTCACTCCCTGGAAGAGACATTAATGACACTTACTGTGAACCTCCTAGAACTATAGAAGCGACACCCCTCGCGTCCAGATGTTTTATGTCTCAGTGGAGGGAAAGACTAACATATAACATGTGCATCCTTCACAGAGAGCAGAAAAGTGCAAGGATGGCAGCAGAGCCCCACGGATGTCACATGCTATGTCTGGTCGGTGCCCTTATTTCTAACTCCTGAACCCCATGTCAGCACCAAGGCATTCAGTTTAAGGCATGCTCAAGGGGCTGCCATGGGAGGTCTGTTTAGTAGCAGAGCTGCTTCCACCTCTTGAGAGTACAATGGTCTCAAAAGAGTGCTTCCTGACTTAAACGTGGGTATGATTCACCTGCAGATTCTGATTCAGCAGGTCCGGGTGAGGACTCAGATTCTGCACATCTAACAAGCTCCCAAGTGATGCTACTGCTGCTGGTACGTGGACCACATTTTCAGGGGCAAGTTTCTTAGGGAGTCTGCCTATTAGCTTCCTGCAGCATCAGCACTCTAAACCAGGAGCCTCCCAGAAGCACGGGGGTTGAGAAACAGAAAGGTTAATCATGTCTGGCTAGGAGGTGAGGACCTCACTTATGAAAATCTTGATGCTCTACTGGCCTTTCATCTTTCAACCAATTAGGAGCCAGGTGTCTGACCTCTATGTACCAATAGAGCAAAAAAGCAGGGAAGGGAGAAAAGAAAGGAAACACAC